GTACTATTATTTGTGAACCCATGCAACTCTATGTATGTGATGTGTATTTGCTTAATCACGCGATCTTGGTTGTGAAGTTGATTTACCGAGGTCCTTCGTGACACTCGGCGGACTACCGGGTTTATATAAGTGAGAGTATGCATGTGTCAACGTGTTTAACGGGGATAGCCGTACTTGATATTGTATAAATTGGGTAGTTCTATTACAACGAAGGGCCCAAGCTCATCCTTGCCGCGGAGCTCCTCCCTTTGCCGCCCGTGGAGCGCAGCCCGCTAATAGAGGAACGTAGAGAGCAGCGGCCGACCCAGTGGCGAGGAAGGCTAGGAGTGGGGGGCCTGCCCAGCTATGAGGGAGGCAGGGAGCGGCGGCGTGGCCCACCGGTGATGGAAGTAGGGAAGGGCGGTGCAACCCGCCAGTGATGGAGGCAGGGAGCGGTGGTAAGTCCCGTTGGCGATGGAGGCATGGATGGGCGGGGCAGCCCACCGGTGAGGGAGGCAGGGAGCGACGGTGACGCGGCAATGGAGGTAGGGAGTGGCGGCGTGGCCCATCGGCGAGGGAGGCAGGGAGCGACGGCGATGCGAGGGAGGCAGGTAGCGGTGGCGTAGCTTCTCATGTCGAAGACGAAGGGGGTGAGAGAGAGACATGGGGGGACGGGGGCGACGCGATTCCAGCGAATACGGAGGGGCTCGACTCGGTATCAAGGGTGAAGGGGTCAGAGCGGGACCAATACTGGTTGGTATTGAGTTTCATTTCTAATTCCAAATTCCATGACATCCAAACAGCAGCATTCGGAGTTAGCAATTGCAATTCCAAATTCAGGGTCCCGATAGGACCAACCCAGCTGTGTCCGTGCGTCGTGCCGCATGCCATCTGTGCCTTGGTCCTCGCGCTGTGTGACCCCACCCACGCCTCGCACATCGCTCCCCCTCGCCTCGCGCCTCCCATCGTGGTCGCGATCCATCTGTCTGTCGAACATAGGCAATCTCGAGCTCGGCACCGGTGTCGAGCTCTACGTCAACGAGCCTCCATTAGAGGGTAGCAAGTAGATGAACACATGTTGCAACCATATGTTTCATGTGTTTATGATGTATGTTGCATATGTTTCCTCTCAATGTTTCAAAAGTAGATCTGCTGATATATATGTTGTGATGGCTATACACGTATGTTACAAGTGTAGGTTTTAAATGTTTCAGTTATTTCAAACGTATGTTGCAAGGGTTTTATCTCGATGTTGCATATGTTGCAATGGCTATACATGTATGTTGCAAGTGTATATATCAAATGTTTCAGCTGTTTCAACATATGTTGCAAGTATTTTATCTAGATGTTGCATATGCTACACTGGCTATACACTTATGTTGTAAGTGTATGTTTCAAATATTTTAGCTGTTTCAAATGTATGTTGCAAATTTGTTTACCTGGATGTTGCATATGTTACCATGGGCATACAAATATGTTGCAAGGCGTATGTTCGTAAATGTTTTATCTGTTTCGAACGTATGTTGAAGCAAATGTATTATGCTGCAAGTGTTGCAAGACCAGGCGCGGGGAGTGGGTGTAATGTCCAGTCCCGACATACATGGCCCCGGCCCACTCTTCCTAGGAGTGATCCGACCCGCGTAGCAACCCGCTTAAACTTTCGTCCTCGCTTCTTTCAAAACGGTTAACCGAAGGTTACTACGCGTCCCTGGCCCTGGTATTTAAGTTGATCTGGCGAATCCTGAGTTTCCAGTATGGTATGGTTGCACAGTGTTTTCGCGGTGCTACAGTAACCCATGACCAGTACACCCCGAAAATTGCCCGGCCCATTTTCGGGTGAACAGGGCTCGGTCTACAGTACCCGAAGTTCGGGTGCTACAGTAACAGGCCATTCTGCTACAGTACCACCGCCCCACAATGGATTGGATTGGGCCCACTTTGGCCCATTAGGATGTTACAGTGGGCGCAGACGGAGGTGGTCCCCTCGGACACGCCGGCACCCACATGCATGCACAGGCGCATGCGTACCACGGCAGCAGGCGAGGCCGGGCCGGTAGGCGTGCGGTGACAACATTAGCTGCGCGTGGACAGGTGCGGCAGCAGCGTGCCCGCGGGCGGGCAAGAGTTGCATGCATGTGCTGTGGGGCTTGCCCAGGCAAAGTGGGAGGCGGAGGCACGATGCACGTGTCTCTTCCATTGGCCGCATGCATCCAGAGAAGTGCGTCATCTTCGCCGTTTCCTGTCGCATGCAGAGGGAACACGCGTAAGGCGCATGGGCGGACAGTAGGCGCGGGTATCCAAACAGCATCCGGACATTCGGGCGACAGTCATTTCTGGCTCCTCAAAACCTGACTCGACTTGATATTTGATCAAGTCTACTTTCAAAGATGTGGGCCACGATTGGTAATAGTAACACGATCTCTTTCCAGGGTGTTTTATGAAAACAATCCGATCACATCACGAGTTCATTCATACCTCAAATAGACGACTGAAATCTCAAATTCTCGTAGGTTCTGTTTGGTCCTAAGGAATTAAGAGGAATTGAAAAGTAACTAATAATAAAATCAGAATCACTTACTAGATATTGGTTTCAATTCATGGAAGGATGTCTCGAAAGAAACTAAGGATCTGAAGGTGGAGACTTCTCTAAGAACATGTTTGGGACCGCGGCCTCTAGCCTGCAGCAGGAAAAACGCGCTTTGGCGAAAGGTTGAAGCTGTGTTGCTCTTTTGGAGTTTCATACTTTTAGTTGTGTTTGCCCGTTGATGATGTATAGTTAGCTGGTTTCTCCATTGTGTGTATTGCGTATCTTGTGAACTTTGTTTATTTGCTTTACTGTAAGAAAAACTAATCGTGATCCACGCCTTTGAAGTTTGAAGTAAACCCGATCAAACGCTACGTAGGATGAAGCTGGAAAAAATGACGGGTTATTATTATTATTATTTGGCTTAGAGCCCAATCTTTTTTGATTTGGTTGTGTCATGTTAAAAAGTCATGACCTAACCAACTCATCAGCCGACGAGACTAGTTTAGAGGGTTTTTATTTTTTATTTTTTATATCAGGTTGAGTGGAGTGGTCTACGAGGATAGTCCAATACTAGAAACTACATTGTAGTTTCTATGTCTATTTAATTTATGTAGACACTATGTGTAGAAACTATGTTTCCAATGGATAGTTTCTATAGAATGATCTTTTGTCTAATTATATGAATTCTCTCATTCATCTGCCTATCACTATCACATCTCTTCATGTCTTAGTTCCTGTGTAGATATGGTTTCTTATTAGGTTAGTCTTGGTGAAAAATTTAATGACGTTGTTTCTAAAACTACCCTGTCATATAGAAGTTCCATAGATATTTAATTTCATCGTAGAAACTTAGTAGTGGTGCCAATAGAGTTTCACGTATGAAAGTCACTTCTTCTCTCTCTTCTTAGAAGTATTGCCAAATCATAAGAAGCGTTTATGTGGCAGATTATTAAATACAAAAATAAAACTCTGGCTCAATGAGTCTAGCCTTAAAAAACCATTTCCAGCCTTAAAAATCATTTCCTTTCCTCTCATCTTTTACAGTACCGTATCATCTTTTCTGCTTGGGCCTTGTTTAGATTGCAAATTTTTTCACACTCTTTCAATCACATCAAATCTTTGAACACATGCATGGAGTATTAAATATAGATAAAAAAATAACTAATTACACAGTTTGATTGTAAATTACAAGACGAATCTTTTGAGCCTAGTTAGACTATGATTAGACAATAATTATCAAATACAAACGAAAGTACTACCATGTTAAATACTAATTCCTAACCCTAATCTAAACAAGACCGATATGTTAATCCATGAACATAGAAATCATCTGGGTTAGGAGTGCCCTCGTCATGTCTAATCTGAACATGGAAGCCCTACTCATTTTCCGAAAATCCCTTCATTCAGAGTTGGACCGTCATGTCCGACTGTCCGGTGGGCGTCCGGCGGCGGCGTGGCTCAACTCGGGCGGAAGGAGATAGAGCTCCGTGCTCCGAAACAAAGTCCGCGGCACCCCGCCACGGCGCCGCCAATGCAATGCTGAGTAGCCGTGTCGGTGGCCTCGAGGACGACAAGACGGCGGGGTCGCCGACGATGAGGAGGGTGGTGAAACGGAGGAAGTGCGTTGCAGCGGATGGGAGGACTGCGAGGAGAGTTCTACAATTCGAAAGCCGCTGCGGAGTCCAAGTCAGGGGACGGGAAGTTGGAGTCTGTCACTGACCCCAAAGCTCCCTGCACAACTCCGTCTGGTACGGACCATGCCATACGGCTTCTACCGATCCGTAAGGGCTACACGCACCTTCGATTTGCATTCAATTTGACCGATTGAGTTAATTGCTTGTGTTAGGATGTGAAATGATTCAGTTGATAGTTGTTTGGAGATTGCAGCCCAAAAGGCCCCAAACAAGTTTGCAAGCCACACCACTTTTTCGATAATTTTGGTTATCTTTGGGGCTGGGCTGATGGATTTGCGAAATTTATCAATCATCCAGTGATCTAGATATATATATTTAGACTCAACTGTCACGATGGAACGCACACAGCCCAGAGTGTATTCTCGAAAGGAATACATACATGGAGTACACAATAACATACTTACAAAATGATCTGGATCTTGAGGCCATTATTTTTTCAATATATGGTTTCGAAATTTACATCCATACAATGGCAGTGCTATAGTGCGCAAACGTGGTAGGGGGAATCTGGATGACTAATTTATTCTGCTATCTCAGCTTAACCATTGTAGCTGTGATCTGGCATGCTTCTTGTATGCAGGGCAAGATCCACTAAATAAGGATGTGAAAACAAAGCAATCCATACTGAATGCACAAAATCACATCAACAAACATGAATTGGATCAAAACTGTGTCCTTTTTTCCTTTCTGAATTTTTCTGTACATTTATACTCTATACATCTTAGAAAACTGCATCGAGATTAACTAATCCTCAAAAACTCGGATGCCAATCACAGGATGTCAAAAGCAACAAGGAGTATCTATGAGCTAAGGATGTTTAGGAGAGAAACCCTGCTCTGGACCAATATCCTGAACAGGTGTCCTGCTCCGCTCTCAAGATCTCCAATGCTGCACTCTAACGCCCGTAATTGGTCCTCCTCGCAGACAGCTGCTTTTCTCTTGGAAAATGCCTTCGAGACAAGTGACTGCTTGGGCACTTCAATTTGCTTTGACAAGAGCTGCACCGTGGACTCAAGTAGAGAGATGGCGATCTCCCTGGCCTTGGTCAGTAGCCTGATCATTGCACAATCTGTCTTGTCAGAAGTGGCCTTCTTGCTTGACTTCTTGAAAGACTGTTTAGCCTTCTTCACCAAGCGGCTGTATGACTGGATCTTGGCTTGAACGGTTGCACCATCTCCTTTTCTTAGAGCCACTTGCAGCTCTTGCATAATGGCCTTCAACTCAACAAAGATCTCTTGCATGGTGTTGCAGAGATCCAGCAGCTCGAGAGAAGACTCAATTTCTCCATCAAGCATTTTCCTTTGCTGGGAAGAGCAAACTTTGTTGCTTGGCAAGTGAGTCATCTCCTCAACACTGATGTAGATGTCTCCAAGCCTCCTCAAACCGTCACACATCATGACGATACATGTGGATGGTGAAGAGATGATTGCCTCTAGAATGCACAACTCTTGTTGCACTGCAGGTTCGCTTGAGTGAAGCCTAGACGGCAAGCTTATTGACCTAAGATGGCAAGCCATATCGATCTGTAGTCTCTGGCTGAATTTTTTGCCGTATTGTAATGAGGTGGAAGAAATGAGAAGCGAAAATTTTTGCCTGATGAGTCGGGTCTCTGTGGAGACCTTTTTATAGAGAGAGGTTATGAGGCGGCATCTTTTGAATGGTAGACAAAGAGAATCCTGTCATTTAATCTCCTCAATGCTGTCTGTCAAGGTTTGAGATCTGGCAGCAGCATAAGGAATCTGTTTCCTTCATCACGCGTGTGTTTATATGTTTTTTAGTGCGCCAGCTACTTTCCCATTGATCTGTCACATTGTCATGCTCCAACTATTGGCAACAAGAATCAACAGGTTAGTTACTCTACTGGCCAATCTTGACCCAATTGCATGCTCCAGAGATTAGTTTAGTGATAACTAACCAAGTATTATTGGTGAAGTACGTCTTATGTAGGTGTTGCGCAGTCGTAAATGCCAGAAGGTATTTTATTCTACACAACTCATGCTGCTTACACGCTCTACCTCGTGTGTTGGAGCTGGCTTGCTTTGGTAGTAGTTAGCAAGATCCATTGGACAAGGATCTGCTGCTTGTTGCTGAGGCAACATATTGCATCTTAGCAACGTGGCCATCTCATAATAAAGCCATGTAAAGATCAACTTGAACAACGCGCCCTAACTACTTTAATAACAGTCACTGGTATTGAGCATCTTTGGAGCACCATTTTTTCTTAATAAAGAATTTTCTGGACGGATGCTACAAACTTGGGTCATTGTATCATATGATTTATAACAGTAAAACAAGAAGTAGTTCAAATTATGTTTCTGTTTTCAAGTGACTGTTTTTCTGTACGTTACTTCTCATATACAGTGATCATCTGATCATCTAAAAGGCGGATGCCAAAGGGTCTCAGAGTTGGTACATCTATGTACAAGCTGAGAGTGTTGAGAAGGGAAACTCTGCTTTGTATCAATTTTTTGAACAAAGTCCCAAATGTACCTTCTAGATAAACAAGGTCCAACTCCAAGGCTTTGGGCTTGTAATTGATCTACTTCACATAGAACTCTTCTCTTTAGGAATGTCTTGTGCACGAGAGACCGCTTGCTAGAACTTTATGCTGTAATCTGCTTTGACCGGAAATGTGACAATGACTCGAGACTTGAGACAGCAATCTCTTGTCTGTTCGCTTGTTGGTTTCAGCCAAGACTTATCAGTCAGTCAACAGTGTTTTTCTCTCACAACAAACCAGCACCAGCTCGGACTTATCAGCCTAGAAACCAACCAGCGAGCAGGCCGTCTGACTTCACCCAACAGCGTGACCACCCTGCAGCTCTCCTGGTTAGCTAAAGTAGACTTATTGTTAATCTTCTTGAACTGCTTCTGCGTCTTCTTTGCAATGCAGGTATAGGATTGAAACTGAATCTTGCCTTAGCTGCAGTGTCTCCCCTTTTCATAATGGCAAAATAGCCATATTCGTCCTCAAACTTTCATCCAAAGCTCAAATTGGTCCCTCAACTATCAAAATGGCCACTTTAGTCCTTGAATTTGCAATTTCCGTTTAATCTCGTCCTCTGTCCGATGTCATCTGCTACAGCAGCTCACTCCGTCACTCCGTCAGCACAGTCCATGTACTCTGCCAGCACAGTTGTTCTAAGTGGCTGTAGGACCGTAGATAATCATGTAAGGATTTTTGAAATCAAATGATTTTGCGAGAAAATAAAATGTCTCATGTCTCAATATCAGCTGACATAGAAAATGTTGTTCACAAAGGATTGACCCTGACAGTCAATGCCTACTGAAATTACACGATGCTCTTTTTTGAGGCCTCAAGTTGTTTTCCTGTTTTTTCAGAGAGGAGCTGCGTTGTCCTGCTGCTAATCCACGTCCAAGTGAAGTGGACTGAATGTTTGCAGATGCACGGCCGCTTGTTACACTGATGGTTGCCTTTGCGGCACCTTTTCCAGCATTTGTCTCAATGACAACAGAGGCACTTCCACCAGCAGATGCCTTTACTGATGCTTCAACAGTTGACTTGCATCTTGAAAAAGAAGCCAGCCTTTTGTTTTGGCCAGACTACAATAGAAAAAAATATTTCAATTTACTTTGCTGTAATAGTATATGCAACTAATCTGAAATGATTGGTACAACTTAGTAACCTGGGTAAAGGAAGAATATGTCCTTTCATTATAGTATAATCCATAACCATCAGACCTCTTGCTTTGAGTTGAAGATGTGGCGGGACGCTTTCTTTTTGATTGCTTGGATTGTTCAGGTTCAGTGCCAGCTTGTTGTGATGGATTATGCGACCCCGTGTCCTCTTGCTGTTATATAGTAGAAGTTAGATTCATCTCATGTGAAACAATACATTACAATAATAAGGAAAAATTCAGAAATACATAAACACCATTTTCACAGAGCATGTCCTGGAGTTGTGACCCGTATTTTTGCATTGATTGCATCTAATTTTAGTACCGACTTTCGATGACTTGGTGCCTGATTTCACTTCTGAAGGATCTTTCTTTCTATTTTTGGGTGGGCGCCCTGGCATTTCTTCACTCTAGGAGGCAATGGATTTGGATTTGGATTTGGAGATACAGGCCAGGCTGACTCATGCTCCACGGGTTGCAGGACATGCTGATATGTCCTCTTGTATTGCTCAATCCAGAAACACAAATGTACGTAATTGTTAGGCTCTTCAGCCATTTTGAATAGAGCAGCACAAGCATGTTGACATGGAATCCCAGAGACTTGCCAAAATCTGTAAGAACATGTCTTGTTTTTCAGATCCACAGTGAACCTCCATTTCTTGTCTCTCACTTCAAATCCAGCTTCACCATTCCATAAGACATAACAAAATTGGGTCCTATGTCTGATCTTTCTGAACTTTCTTAAGATATTGGGACATATTGTTGTAATCCACCTCGCACTATTGCTCCTATTCTCTTAAATTCTTCTAGTTACTAGGACCCTTATGTCCTCTAACATAGTTATGATAGGTTTAAATCTTGCTTCAATAATCCAACTATTGAATGATTCACTCATGTTGTTATCAACTGATTCACAGTTTGATCCAAGCCTGAACCAAGCTCTACACCAATGTATAGGGTCTGTTCTCTCCAAATCTACCCATCCTGTAGGATTTTTCACGGCAAGCTTGTTCTTATAATGATTAAATAATATCTCATTTGGTGCCTTTACAATCTTCCAAAACCTTCTTTGATACTCCTGTAGCCTATGCTTTTTCCTCCAATTAGCATAGATATAACGAGCACACATTCTGTGCTCAGCAAATGAAAATAGCTGCTGAATAATACTTAGTAGGCCCTACATAAATAAATGAAGTGGATGTCAGTCCACAATTTATAAGCTAACTGATGCATGCATGTTAAAAGCTACATAAATAAATTTGTTCCCTTACTTTTTGTTGGTCTGTAATGAACACCCATTCCGCAGCACCAATAGGTATATTGATATCTTTTTGAAGATGTCCAATAAACCAAACCCACGAATCTTTATTCTCATATTCCACAACAACCCATGCTATTGGGTAAATCTTATTATTCGTGTCCCTTCCAACTGCTGATAGTAACTCACCTTTCATAGGTCCCTTAAGAAAGCAACCATCTAGCCCAAGGACTCTCCTGCATCCATCTAAGAAACCCCTTCGACATGCATCGAAACATATGTAAATTCTCTAAAAAAACAAGGTCCTCTTCTTGTGGATCAAGAGCAATGTGTACACTAGTTCCAGGATTACTTCTCTTCAGCTCAAGAGCATAGTCAAATAATTTTGAGTATTCACCACTCTGAGAATCCATTATCTTCTTCATTACCTTTGCCTTCGCTCTCTTAATCATTGTGATTGATACATCTACACCCATATCTTCTTGTACTGTCTCCTTCATTGCTCTAGCCTTCTAGGATGGATTAGCCTTGATAGTACTCTCATACTTGTCACAGATTCTGCTTGTTGATAATCTTTTTTTTTTCAATTCTAGGCAGCAAGCATGGTTGGGATTATATGTGACAATCTGAAACCAATCAGACCTTGAGTTGTATGAAGCATACAGAAGCCAAGGACAACCTTTCCACCTACATACAACCCTAATCCTTTCTTTGTCATTCTTGACATATCTGAGATTTACCTTCATCTTTAGTGCGTACTTTTCTATGGCATCCTTGAATTGATCCTTTCCTCTAAAACACATGTCCACAGCAAACTGAGGAGTCTCACACAGCTATCAAATATTTGATATCTGCACTTTCTTCTAGTTGAAACACCATCACTCTCCTCATCATATGACACATCCTGATCTGAATCAAGGTCATATCCACCTTGGGTTATTTGAAGACAATGAGTATCATCCTGTTCTGTTCTTTGGAGAACATCAAGTTCGGCTAGGGTGTCCACTGGAATCTCTACACTCTTCTTCATTTTTGACATAATGTCTTCATACTTGGCTCTTATCTCTCTAATTTCATCATCTTCATCAGATGTAAATCCTGTCACATCACAAGCGCTATCTGATTCTTCATGTGTCTCTCCCTCTTGTTCATTCTGAACATCCTCAACACTGGTTGGAGCCTCCAAATACATGATTTTAGTATCTTCCAATTTTTTTCACCTATCTGTTCATTAGGTTTCGCCACAAGATGGGTTGGGGCATCCAAATCCATGATGTTATCATCCCTAAACAAGGCAAAAACATCTTCATCTTCATACTTTGTCTCGATTTCTTCATTGGCATCAATTTCAATGGGCTCAGTATATATGTCCACAACCCTTGTAGCACCTAGCTCATTAACCATGTCCAGGCATGACTTATCATCTACCAATAGCTTCATTCCACTACTCACTTCTGCATCAAATGGCAACCAATACATCCTAATACATCTTTGGAAAGTTGTATGATCTAAAAGATGGCCTTCAAGTTCTGGGATAGATAGCTTGTCCTTATCAATGTGTGACAGTCCCCAATCCCCATTGCAATACTTCACCTTTGACCCATCAATAACAAAATCCCCA